AGAAAGGTGCCAAGGGAGCCCTGGGACAGGATGTAGAGCCCCTGCTATGGGATCGCTGCAGCAGCTGTGGAAGGCCCCTGCTTTGGTTCTCACTGGTCCCAGCTGAAGAGCCATCCCAAAGGCAAGGACAGCCCCAAACGTGGGCTCCTGCGGTTGGCCAGCTGGCAGAGGTAGCATAAACACATCTGAAGGTGGAAGTGCCTGATGACCAAGTCAGGTGCTCTCATGGATCGGGGGTTACCCAAATCCCGGGAACCATAGGGTCAACCAGTGGGTGGCGGGTAACTGGCTGTAAGGTTGGACAGCTGGCTGGGCCCAGGAAGAAAATTTCCACAGAAATGGGGAAAACTGCAGAGGAAGGAGCTCAGGTGGTGTAGCACATAAGGCACTTGGCTGCTAACCAGAAGGTCAGTGGTTCAAACTCACCAGCTGCTCCATGGAAGAAGATAGGGCAATCTACTTCCACAAAGATTTATAGCCTTGGAAACCCATGAACTTGATGGCAGTGAGTTTTGGCACAGGAAGGCAGGGAGAAACTGTAGGGTAGAGAGAAGAAGACTGAGGGACAGAGAGCAGGAAGACTGAGGCTTAATCTTCCCTCTTCTCCCATTGTTGTTGTTGTTGTTAGGTGCTGCCAAGTAGGCTTCAACTCATAGCGACCCTATGTACAAAAGAATGAAACAGTGCCCGGTCTTGCGCCAGCCAGCCTCACAATCCTTGCCCTCCCAATCCTGAGCCCATCTGTGGTAACTAGGGTTGTTGTCCACTCAGCTGGGCCTAGTTGAGTGGCTGGGCAGGTGGATGTAGTTATTCCCCATGATGAGATTGGTAATCAATTCCATGCTAGAATCTACTGGAGCAGCTGCTTTCAGTATATAAGAAACAGTTTTGAGGAAGGTCTCCGGCTTATGGCATGCTTGAACTCTGCATATAGCAGAGTTGTTGTTCAGCGGCCTGCCCTGTTGCCCTGCCGATCTTGGAACTTTTTCAGGACTTGAATCATTTTATTTGTCGACATTGGGCTTGTCAGCCACAGCAGCCAGCAGCTGCCTGGGTGAAGAAAAGCCTCCAGCTTCAGTGGGCCAGCAGCAAGAGGCAGAACTGAAGCCCAAGGTCGAGGGGCTTTCACCCAGCTCCTAGACCCCGGCATTTTGAACTCGGACTTCTAGCTTCCAAAACTGTAAGACAATAAACTCTTGTTTGTTCAAGCCATCCCATTTGTGGTATCTTCTGTTAGAGCGACACAAACCAAAAAAAAACCAAACTCACTGCCATCAAGTTGGATCCGACACATAACGACCCCTCCTTGGGTTTCTGAAGTGCTCTCTCTACAGAAGTAGATTGCCCAGTCTTCTTTCCAAGGAGTGGCTAGTGGGTTTGAACCGCCAGCCTTCTGGTTACCTAAATGTCAAATGCCTTAGGAACCACACAGAGGTAACCAAAACATCATCGTTGCAGTCACCATGTCAGTCCATCTTGTGGACGGTCTTCCCCTTTTTGGCTGACCCTCCACTTTACCCGGCATGATATCCTTCTCCAGGGAATGGTCCCTTCTGACCACTTCTCCCATTAGCTGTATGCATCTCTGTAAGCTCTGAGGGTAGGAAATCCTCAAGTTCTCCTAGCTGGGGAGGAGGATAGGACTCTCCTTCACAGACTCCTCCCCTAGTCGTATCAGCTGACTTGATATTGAAGTATCCTAGTCTGGAAACTCAGCTGAGTTGAGGGCTGGAAGGGACCGACTCAGTCCTGCCTGCCTCACCCGCACCCCAAGCTGTGTTGGGGTCCAGAGTAAGCTGGGCCCTGGTTGGTCTTCCTCTTACTCTTGGGGGTGCCCTCCCTGAGCCTGCCGCAGGAATCTCCCTGCACCTAACTCAGATTACATTCTTTCATAAGGGTCCTCTGAATAACTCCCCTGGACTCCTCTATCCCCAGCAGGCAGGCAGGGAAGGAGGATTAAGGGGGGGCAGGGCAGGAAGAGGCAGGAGAGTTAGAGCGACATCCACACAATCAGTCTCAATGCCAGCAGTGCAGAATCTGCCCTTTAATTCCTAGGACCAAAATACAAAGAAAATCTTAAATTTAAGAACTAAATATTGTTTTTCTTCTTCTTCTTTCTTTTCTTTTTTTTTTTTAATTGTGATTTGGATGAAAGTTTACAGAGCAAGTTCATTTTCCATACAGCAGTTCCCATACACTTTGTCTCATGACATTGACTGCAATTTCCCACAATGCAACAGCTCTCTTCCCACTTCCTCCCCATAGTTACCTCTTCCCTCGTGTCCTTTCCTCTCATGCACTCCTGCCCCCAGAGCTGTCTCCCTGTGCATACACTGCCCTTCTATTCTCCCATGACTGATCCCTCCAAGGAGTGTATCTACCTAATGTAAATGTTCAGCTCATATGGCTATATTTTGATTGGCTGGAAGCCACAGGAGTGGGTTCAATTTCAGACCTGAAGGGCAGCCAGGGGCCATAGTCTCAGTGGTTCCACCAGGCTCTATCAGATCAGCAAATCTGGTGCCCCCCTCTTTTTTTTTTTTTTAATGATTTTGAGCTTTGTTCCACATTGTTCTCCCAGTCTATCCAAGATCTCCTACACAGATTGCCCTCCGAGTGGTTGACAGTAGTACCCGGGCGCCATCTAGTTGTTCTGGTCTCATAGTCGTATAGTCTGAGGATCGCATGGTGTACCGGTCACTTGGACTATTTGTTTCCATGTGTCTTTGGTTTTCTTCATTCTTCTTTGCTCTGGATGAGGAGACACCTATCATTGCATCTAGATGGCTGCTTGCAAACTTTTAAGATCCAGTTGCTACTCACCAAAGTAGGATGTGGAACAATGTTTTGTGTAGTATGTTATGCCAATTGAGCTTGATGTCCCCTGCAACTATGGTCCAGAGCCTACAGGTCCAACTACTCACTCCGTCTGGGTAGCTGGCTGTGGGCAAGAAGTGACTACAACCTTGTTATATGGACATTTTTATAACACATACAAATAGGTTTGTGGAAATATTGTCTGCCAAACTTATATATGGTCATGGGTATATCCTTTTTGCCTAGACATACATTTTTCAAATGTGGCTTCTCTTGATTTTTAAATGTTAGCTCAAAACCAAAACAAACAAAAAACCATAGTCTAAACAAAACAAGTCTGATAGCTAGTTTGTAGCCCAGTTTTCATGAAATCTTAGAGATTCTGAGATTTCAGGGATCCTAGGATCATTTCATTTCATGCTTTGAAAACTAAGATGTGCATATCAATACTTTGAGGGAACATATTAAGATGCAGATACTGATTCCAGAAAGGGGCCTGAGATTCTAAATTTCAGACAAGCTTCTGGTCGCCAGTGCTGCTGGTCTAAGGCTTTAGTTCATCCTTCCACCCAGGACCTCCCTCTGACTGTCATATTGCTGGTCAATGATTGCACACCTCCATGTACTAGACACTCAGCACAGGTGATGGCAGCCTGAGTCACAGCAATGGCAAAGGACACCAAGAGTCAAAAATGTCAAGGCCCGGCCTCTGGAACATCAGAGCTGCACAGAGGATGGGGTCTTACCAGGACAAAGGGTTGACACTTGTTGCAAAGGTCTGAACAGACGGGATTTTCTGTCCAACCACTTGCTCAGCAGTGTCCAGTTAAATACAGAATACCATGCCTTGGGTGTTCTGGTGAGTACAGGTTTGGTACAGTTTATTTAACTTCCTTTCCCCAAATCTTGAAGCAAGCTTTCCTCCATATTTGGGAAAGGTACCTGGTTACACACTTGTGAGGAAGCCAGCTTCTGATTAGTGAGAGATGGAGTTGGGAAGGAGGCTTGAGGCAAAACGGAAGCCCATTCCTTCTCAGAGCATGGGACAACCTCTGCTAGGGTCGAAAACAGGATGTCTATTTCCTCTGTGGTTGGAGCATCCAATCCCAGACATTCCTTCTGGGGGCTTTGAGGGACCCTGGAAAGTGAAGAACCCCTCACCCTAACATCTCCTTAAAAGCTCAGGGTCCTTTGGGGCTGGAGCCCAGACATCATAGTGCGCCATATCCTGAGGCCAACTGTTCTGAAACCTGGCTGTTAAAGCTGGAAGAGGCAGTGGGAAACACCTAGACCACTTCTCATTTCACCACTGAGGGGAACCCAAGCCCAGAGAGTACTTTTCCAAGGTCACATAGCTGTTTTTGCAATCAACTCTTGTCAAGGCCCGGAATCCTTTGAGGTAGAGCTGGATAGAGGCCACCGGCATTAGCCAGAGCTTTGGTCATCCATAGCAGCAACTTGCAGGAAAAGGACCTTCCAGAATAATCCTGAGGGAAAAAGTAACATCTCAGAGGGAAACCGGAGAGGGGTCTTGGGATTCATTGAAGGTTGTGGAGGGTTATGGATCAGAGTTTCTGTGAGGGTGGAGGAAAAGGCTCCTGCTCCAACAGAGGAGAAATTTGTCACATTTGGCTGGTGGATGTTGCTTCCTACACTGTACAGATTGTGAGGCCTGGGAGTCGCTCTAGGAAGGTTCTTGATTACAGGGTCATGAATCCAAGCCTGGATTCTTGGACCTACTCCAGACCTCACTCACTCACTCACTGCCATGGAGTTGGATCCGGATCTGACTAATAGCCGGTTTCTGAATGGGTTATCTCTATGGAAGTAGATTACCCAACTTTCCTTCCAAGGAGTGGTTGGGGGGTTTGAACCACCTGCCTTCTGGGTAGCAGTCAGATGCCTTAGGCACTAGTCCACCAGAGCTCCCAGAATCCCTGTGGATTCTTTGGAAGCCTACATTTTTAATGAGTGCCCCTCTTCTAGGGGAAATCTGACTTAGGGGGCTCAGACCAGCTTGCTTGGGTGACAAGGAATTCTGCTGACGACACTAGGCCTGAGGGCTCGGAGCTCGGGCTAGGGAAGAGGTGCCAGTCCCCCAGGAAGCATCTCGCAGAGGCTTGTGGGCCCTGGAATTGGCAGGGAGACCAAGCTGGGGATGCGATCTGACCCACCTGGCCCACGGCTGCCTCACTTTCCCGAGAACTGGCCCGGCCTCGCCTTCTCCAGCTTCTGGCGCCGCTCAGGGGGGATTTCCTGCAGGCTGATGCCGTGGCTACTGACCCTGGGGGAGGGGGCGGTGGTCTCAGGGAAAGGGAACAACGAAGGGAGGCAGGGTCTGCGCTCCTTCGGGCTACAGTCGGGCAAAGGGGGGCGAGGGGAGGGAATAAAGGGAGAAGGGGACAACCTGGCCGGTCTCGTTCCGTCAGAGACCCCCAGCCCTTACCCAGGCTGCAGATCCGGCGGTTTAGGGATAGGCTTGTTGAAACCGCGTCTGCCCACCAGCCAGTACGTGTCCTCCGAGCCCTTGCCCTGGAGAGACACCGGGGAGCGGCGGACTTAGGAAGAGCAGGGTGAAGGGAACACAGGACACGCTGCCGGGGAGTGGGACCCAACTCATAGCGAGCCCTCCTTGGGTTTCCCAGGCTGCACCACTACAGAAGCAGATCGCCCAACCCTCCTTCCGAGGAGTGGCTGGTGGGTGTGAACCGCCAGCCTTCTGCTTAGCAGTCAAATGCCTTAGGGCACCATGCCACCAGAGCCAGCGGAACCAGGAGACCCAGGGTTCCGGGTTGAACTTTGTTTTTTAGCATCTGCCCAGGAAGGGGCGGGGCGGGGCGGGGCAGAGGGAGGGGTGAGGCCGAGCCTCACCTTCAGTTCTGTGCGACCACGCCCCTCCACCTGGAAGCCCTCATCCAGAGCGCGGAGGATCCGCACGGTGCTCACGTTCACGTGGATACGGTAAGCTGAAGCGACGGAGGACTCCGTGAGCTGGGGACTCACCTCCTGCGTCCTCCTTCCCGGGCCATCTCTCCCCTCGGGCCCCGCGGCCTCTCCCCGCCTCTTACAGCCCCTCCAGCCCCTGCCACACTCACGCAGCCCGGTGGACTCCATGCGAGAGGCGGTGTTGACCGTGTCGCCAAACAGACAGTATCGCGGCATGGTGAGGCCCACCACACCAGCCACGCACGGGCCTGTGGAGATGCGCAGGGTTGCCTAAGGGGCCTGGGCTAAAGCTGGCAGTGCCCAACAGCTAAGGGGCGTTGGGGGGACCTTAAAAACCAAAACCAAACTCACTGCTATCCAGTCGACTCAAAGCGACCCCCTTTGGGTTTGCGAGGCAGTAAATCTTTACGGAAGTACATTGCCCAAGCCTTCTGCAGAGTGGCTGATGGGTTTGACCCGCCAGCCTTCTGGCTAGCAGTCAGATGCCTTAGGCACTATGCCACCAGAGTCCGTGGGCGGTCCTTAGTACCCCATAATCTCCACCAACTCCCCAAGTAAGCACACTGTTGAGCACATCCTTTTAAAACCAGGTGCTTGGTAGCAAAGGCAGCTTCAGAATAAGCCTCCCATATAGGAAATGTGAAGTGGGACCTAAAGAAGCGGGGCTGGAGTCCCGGAGGGCCAGGAGTTACCCGAGTGCAGGCCGATGCGGATGCGCACCGGCACCTCCGGCATGTGGCGCATGCGGAAGGAGCCCACAGCACTAAGTATGTCCAGTGACATGTTGGCGATCTCTGCTGCGTGCCGCTGTCCATTCCGCTGAGGCAGCCCGGAGGCCACCATATAGGCGTCCCCAATAGTCTCCACCTGGGAGAAAGGGTTGTGTGCATTCAACACTGGGCATCCCACACCCCCACCTAGGCCACCCCCATGGCAGGAGATCTAAAGTGGGGTCAGTGCAGAGATCCTGGACAGCCAGGCCGGAAACTGGGGAACTGAGCTGGGGACTGAAGGCGGAGCTACGGAACAGAGGGCTGGGGAAGAGGCTTGGGCTGGTGGCCTGGGGTAGGTGAGGTGCCCGCTGAGCAGGAGAACCTGGGCTGGAGGTCAGAACCCTTGCCTCCCATATACTCCACCTTGTAGACATCATGGGCTCCAATGATGGCATCAAAGAGAGTGTAGAGGTCATTGAGTAGATCCACTACCTCAATGGGCTCGCTCATGGCTGAAATAGTGGTGAAGCCCACGATGTCACTGAAGTACAGTGTCACTTGCTCAAAGTACTCAGGTTCCACAGGTGTCCCCGTCTTCAGGGCCTCAGCCACAGACCTGGGGGTGGCATGTGGTAAGTACCCCTGGAGGCCACCTTAGTCTGGCTGGACAGAGGCTGCCCTCCGCACTGGCACCTACGGAGGTAGCATCTGTGTGAGCAGCCGGTCTGTCTTCTGCTTTTCCAGCTCCAGCTCCTCTGTGCGCTCCCGGATCAGGTCTTCCAGGTTGCTTGAGTACTGCTCCAGCATCCGAAGCATGGAGTCAATGATGTTTGTCTTTCGGCCCTTGTTGATGCTCTTGAACTAGTAGTGGGAGGAAGCTGGGACTAGTAGTGGGACTGTGGAGGATCTGGAGTGTGGTGCCTCTCTGTGGGGTTACGCAATGCCTCACTCCCCCTCCTCCATTCATCTACTTATCAGGCACCTAGGGTGCCAGGCAAGAGCTCTGGTAGCATAGTGCCTAAGGCACTTGACTGCTAACCAGAAGGCTGGCGGTTCAAACCCACCAGCCACTCCTCAGAGGGAAGGCTGGGCAATCCTACTTCCGTAGTGATACTGCCTCAGAAACCCAAGGAGGGGTCGCTATGAGTCGGGGCCGACTCGACGGCACATAACAACAACAGGGTGCCAGGCACAGTGTTTCCAGACATTATTAGGAGGAATATAAGAAATAAGGGTTCAGGGAGCTCAAGGCACTGGAGTCAGCCCAATCTTTGGATTCCCAGGCCAAGTGTCTTTCTGCCAACCACACATTTAGTTCTCATTAACTGTTAACTCAATTGAATTAAATCTTTTCCCACCGAGAGCTCTGTCCCCAACTCTGAAGGCCTCTACACCCCCCCCCCCACCAAACCCCTAGTCCTCGGGCTACTCCTTGGGAGGTCATCTGGAAAATCAGAGGTCCTGTCAGCTTGTCTGCCTGCAGCCTCCTCAAGTGGCTGACAAGAGTTTGGGGTCCCAGTGGCCAGCCCAGCCCTTGCCCAGCACCAGCCACTGACCAGGTCGAAGGTGCGGTCCATGGAGGGCCGAAGTTCTGGCTGCTCTGCCCAGCACTGTTCCATCAGCTGAATGCACTCTATGGGTGCCTGGTCCATGGACACCAAAGGCCGACACAGCGGAGGGGGGCTCCGTACCCTCTGCACCACCTCTGGGGGCATGGGGAGACCATGAGGGGTGGGCACCCCAGGACAGGAGCTACTTCTGACCCTGGCCTGATTGTGGAAGCCTCTGCTGGTATAGTGCCTAAGGCATCTGACCGCTACCCAGAAGGCTGGTGCTTCAGACCCGCCAGCTGCTCCATGGGCAAAAGAGTACAAGATTAGTCACCTTGGAAACCCAATGGGAGCCCCTAGGAGTTGGAATTGACTAGATGGCAGCAAGCTTTTTTTTTTTTTTTTTTAAAGACTGGAAGACTAGCAAGGGGTCCTTTAAATTAGAACTCAGTGGGAGGGGAAGTGTTGGGAGTAACAACACTGAACTCTGAGGGGTGCTCTGGAGGGGGGATGGTTCAGCCAGAAGTGACCCAGGCAGAGACTAGCCTTTACTACACAGCTACTGTGTGTCCCAGACATTTGACGCGTTTTCTTCTCTGAATTCCCAGAAATACGGGTTTATCTGTTATCCCCCTCCTTTTCACCCCGGCCCCTGAGAATCGGAGAAGCCTGCTCTGTCAGTTGGGAAACCAGGAACAGGCCAGGCCAGGGCCTCGCACCCACTGCCCTGACCCTGCACACTTCAGTTTTAGTGGAGTCTCCACATCATTAACTCTCATCCCCAGGTTTTAGGGGGAAAATGGAGGCAGGGATCTGGCCTGGCTCTGCCCTAACGGTAGGGTGCCGCTCTGGCCTGAGGGCCTTCAGGGGGCTTGAGGGGTCTGTACCCTCGGGAGTCAGGTCCAGCATGGCGTAGGGGTCGCTGCGACACACAACCTCCTGCATGATGACAGCCAGGCTGAAGACATCGCCGGCCAGCGTTCCCCGACGCTCCAGGGCCGGGTCCCGCAGCAGCTCCGGGGCTGTCCATAGCTGGTCTGGGGACAGGGACGGAGGCATGGGCGCGTGGAGGCCATGGGGGCGTTGGGGACAGACTCCGTACCTCAGCCTGGGCTTGTCTCCAGACACCCACTCATCCACTAGCCCCCCACGCCTGAGTCTGGCCCCGGATCCTTGCAGCTATACCCAAAGGCCATCTCAGAGAAAGCCAGGCGCTCACCGCCCTTCGGACAAAGTGGTGGTGGTGGTGGTGGTGGGAGTCCGCCCCTTGGCTGCAGGCTCTGCGCTCCGGCAGGTGCCGGCGCAGACCCCACCCTCCGCGTCTCTCTGAGGTCACAACTCCATTTTAGGAGCAGAAGTCAAGGAGTGGGAGGGCGGGAGCGGGAAGGAAGGAGGAGGGCTTCAAAAATGGGGATCGCGGGGATGCTCTCCGGCGTATGATCCAGCCCGGACTCCTACCCTCCGCGGTCTGGGGCTCCGGTAACATCTTCTGCGCTTCCAGTAGTCGTCCGTGGCCATGATCCGTGACCTTAAGCACGAACCTCCCGTCCACCACGCAGTTCCGGGACTTCAGCCGCCCATGAGCCACGCCTCGATGGTGCAGGTACCTCATTCCCTGGAAGGGGCCCGGGACGCGCAGCCTCAGGCCGCGCGTCTCCCTGGCCCCCGCCCCCGCCCTCAGGAGCCCTTCTTAGCACCCCCCACACACACCCCACGCCCGACACACACCTTGATGAGATCCAGCAGGAGGGAGGACTTGAACATCCAGTCCAGCTTTATGTCTCTCTGGGCGAGGAGGTCGTGGAGAGAGCCCCGGGCGCAGTGCTCGGAGACCACGGCCAGGAAGCCCTCTCCTGGCGCCGCGGCTCCATCCGCGCCGCACGCCAGGAACAGCCCCAGGTAGAGGGCCACGTTCTCGTGTCGCAGCTCCCGGAGCTGAGTCGGGAATAGCAGGAAAGTTAACTGGTGTTTTCTGCCCTGGGGAAAACGTGTGTGTATGGGGGGCATTCTTCAGGGTCTGTTGCTGAGTCGCCAGCTCGGAAGATGAGATTGAAAAAAGGTGAATGCAATTGCGGGGCATGTACAGAGACTTTCTTTGGGAAAGGCAATATAGTCAAAGGCCACGTTCAGATACTGACTGTGGTTTTGTTTAAAGCTGTGATTGGAAAGGCAATCTTGTCCTGGTAATCAGGACCCGGACAGGTTCTGACTTATTGACCATGAAACTTCGCACTGCTGGGCCTTAAGGAAAAACATCTCAGGTGGAGAGAAGCCCCTGGCACTGCCATCCTCCCTCCAGGTGTAATGCTTTGAAGAAAGAGAGAAGTTGGTGCTGCTCATCAAAGAAACCCAGAAACAGCCAGCCTGGAGCTGCTTTCCTTGCTGTTCCATTCATCCATGGGGTCAAGCTTGCCTGAGACCCCCCAGCCTCCAACAGTGAAGCCACAAAGTCAGAAGAGCAGTATGAGGCCACACCCCCTCCACAGACAATGGTCTCCCAGTCTGGGCATGCTGAGAAAAGGGGGGCTAGCTTGGTGCCCTTTCTAGCTTTTCTTTTACCCAGATACCCAATAAAGGGACTTCTTTTCACTTTGAACGCCCAATGTTAAAAGGTGCTTCAGTGTGTTAAAGCATACAGGTGGTCCACCTAAGTCCTTCTGCATCTGTGTCCAAGAGCTCCCCTGGAGAGCTCAGGAGTTACCAAGGCTGATAACATGGGGAGGGGGCACTTGGGTTGGAATGGCCAGGATAAGCCAGTTGATTGCCCCCTTCCCAACCTTGCACTCCATTCAGTATGCATCAGTCCAACAAGGGCCGTTCTGTATTAAGTGGTCTGACTGACAAAACTGGAAATACATTTTTTAATCTCTGTTATTCACTCAACATGGACTCAAATATCTCAGTGATAATAAAGATAGTGCAGGGCCAGGCAACATTTCCTTGTTATACATAAAGCTGCTGTGATTGGCGCCAACTCAATGGCAACTAACATCATTCATTCACTCAGCAACCAACATCATTCACTCAGCATTCACTCACTGCCTCTAGTGTTCCAGACACTACGCTGGATGCCAGCAATGTAGTGGGGGTGGAGGAGTCCTCACTCAGCTTACAGTCTAGTGAAGGAGGCAGATAATAAACAGGCATACAAATGGACACACAATTACAAACTGTGATAAGAACACCAAAGGAGAGAGAGAATGATGAAAAATCTGTTTGAGAGGGGAGGTTGCGTTCCACTGACAACTCTCTGTCCCTTTCACATTGGGGTCTAGCTCTGTACCTAGCTGCAAGAAGGTGGCAGGAAAAGGATGAACTGATGGCCACCCCATACCCATCACAGGCCCAAACCTCACCTTGGAGAAGGTTGTCTTGGTTGCTGGACAGATAGCTATGTGCTGATCCCCCGGGAATTTCTTCAACCAAACCCAGTCTCCCTGGAGCAGAGAGGATGAGGGTTGGAAACTCAGTCCCTTAGAAACCCATGATGTGAGAAACTCTAGAGCCCCACATTTCCATTACCCCAGAACACATCTCCCACATGAAAAAGAGAGAAGGAAGGGTTTGAAGTCTGCCAGTCCACTTCACAGTCAGCATGGTAAGAGTCCACCCCTGGGTGAGAGATATGTAGAAGTCCTGTATGGCTGTCCTCACCACCCCAGATGGGCTCACTCACAGCCCTATTACAGCCAGCCGAGCTGTTACCACAACTGCCACTGATATTACCACAGCCCTCACCTACTGCCAAGAGAGAGTGCTGCACTAGGAGCAGGCGTGCAGGTGGAGCAGGCGATCTTGTAAACTGACTGGGAAGTACACGCAGCTCCCCTCTGGACTCGACCTCATTTTTTCTCAGCTGTTAGCAGGACTGACTTCATGGGTATAGGGTCTATGCAGTCACACAGGCCCTACTTTCAGAAGGGCCCAAAATTTGGTCAAATGATCTGTCTTATCACCTTGAATGAACAAGAGACCCCTCATTTCACTTTGCATTGGGACCCTCAAACTATTATTATGTGGTTGGTCAAGTCTGTTGGTGAGGGATTTGGACTAGAAGGAAATGCTGGAGGTTCAGTACCAAATCCTAGAGGGCATTTGGAAATACATGTTTTTTTAGTTGTCATAAAAACTGAGGACCTCATTTACTAGACAGGATCAGAGATGCTAAACATTCCACAATGCACAGGGTAGTCCCATACCTGAACCAAAGTAACAACACTGCCCCAGCCAGGAACAACTTCATTTCTAAGAATGCAATAGGGGCTTCTGCATTCCTGGCACGACCCAAAGCTTTCAATTCTGATTCTCCTCCTGACCAGCAGAGCTCAGTAAACTCTCATTATCTTCCATCCATCCCACCACATTCAGATTTGTCGACCCCAACATTAATGTCGTAATGCTCGGAAACGTTTTTTTCTTCTCTAAGGCTTGCTGTTCTTGAGTCTGATGTGAATTGCATAGAAAGGCTGGATGGGCCAAGATGTGGATCTGGCCTGAGTCGGGGACAGCCCTGTCTTGAAAGCTCCCCGTCCTACACAATCCTTGTCCAGGAAGGATGATCAGAAAATACGTCTCAGATGCTATTCTGCTCCAACCTTTCCAGGAAGGCCTTCACCCTTCAGTAACCTGAAGGTATGGATAACTGAAGGGGGGGGTGGGGCGAGCATGGCCCAAGGGGTCCCAGCCAGGCAGAGGTGGCCTCAGTGGCAACACGATTGCATGGCAGTCCCAGGATGCCCTTTCCTCTGCCCCCCCCCACCACCACTTAGGCCTCAAGCATCTGGGCCACTGTGATTGGCTGCTGAGAAGCCCTCACCTGGCTAATGATACAAGAAAATCCCTAGATGTTCCTTTTGAGGAACCCACGACCTGGATCTCATCCAGACTCCCATCACCCTTTTCTAGAGCCTCCAGGATTTGACACGACTCCATGCCTCCCTAGGGAGGATGCCTCCCTTCAGTCTACGTCCTGAGTGTCCCTCCCCCGACTCCTCCTCCAGGAGTAGAGGTGGGTCTGGCAGGTGTTGGGGTCCAAGAGAGAAATTGTCAAAGGACATGAGTGCAAGGCCCGTGTCCAACAGTGACAAGCAGAAGGCAAGGCCTCTCTCACAGTTAAATGCTTAGTTGGCAAAACATCAAGTATTAAAAGTAGATGTTATTCCAGTAGTCCATCTTTTTATCTTATTGGAATGTTTCATACTTTGGGTCACTGTGCCCTAGTAAACATTTATCATTTTACACTCCTTATCCCAGGAACTCTGGTAGCGTAGTGCCTAAGGCACTTAACTGCTAACCAGAAGGCTGGTGGTTCAAACTCACCAGCCACTCCTCGGAAGGAAGATGGGGCAATCTACTTCCATAGTGATACTGCCTCGGGAACCCAAGGAGGGGTCACTGTGAGTCTGTGCCAACTCGATGGCACATAACAACAACAACAACATTCCTGATGAGGCTTATGTGATTGTTTTAATGACTACCTGTTGTCCTTCAGCACGTAGAGGAGTAAAACTTTAACTTTGTAGAGAATAAGCTGATTGTATGGATTCCAAGAGGAGCTCTGGTAGCATAGTGCCTAAGGCACTTGACTGCTAACCAGAAGGCTGGCGGTTCAAACCCACCAGCCATTCCCTGGAAGGAAGGTTGGGCAATCCTACTTCTGTAGTGATACCGCCTCGGAAACCCAAGGGGGGGTCACTATGAGTCCGGTCCGACTCAATGGCACATAACAACAACATGGATTCCAAGAAGATGATGTAATCATGTATAAACATATAAATAAAGTAGAACAAAGGCATCAGGGGTCGCTCTTACAGAACATGCAGGGTGTCTGCCTGGCCCCCGTTCCTTTTAAAAAACCATTAATCCTTTCATGTCGCTTCGTTTCATGACCTGTGCAGTTTTGCGGCAGGCAGGAGGCCAGGCTCACCTCGTAGAGGCCAATGTTGGAGCTGTCAGAAGGTTGGCTGGGGACACTGCGAATGTCCGATGTGCTGCGGGCAGCCAGACTCGACCGACTCCCCTGCACTACCTGGGGGCAGAGATGAGTGCAAGGGGTCAGAATATAGTCTGCGGTCAGAGATTAGGGTGAATACTGGGGATTAAAGAGGGAAGGAATGTCAGTTAGGGAAGGTGTTAATAACATTGTTCCCCAAATTCACAGCACTTTACAGTTTATAAAACAAACTTCAGTACATTTTCTTGGGGCTTCACAACCCCCCAATAAAGCAGTCAGGGCAGGAGCTGTTACCCCTGTTGCACAGATGAGGATGCTGATCCCCAGAGCTCAGACCTGGCAGACTGGGCCAGAACTCAGGCCTCCCCAGATGAGGGCTGGAGTGAAGACTCCAAGGAGGGGACCAGGAATATAGCGGAGGACAGCTAGCTCCCAGTCCCCTGCCTCCCCCACCTTTCGAGAGCTGCTTCTCCGTGGGTGGATAAAGATGATGTCATCCGGAGTCAAGATGATCTTGTTGGGGCCGGAGACCATTTGGATGTGAAGCAGTCGGTACCTAGTGGAGGATGGAGGTCATCTCAGAAAAGGGGCCAGGGTCCATGAGAACAAGCCAGCAGGGAGAGGGAGGTGGGTAATGTTGGCTCAGGGGAGGGGCACTGGAGGGCAGACAGCCCTTGGGACTCTGCCACCCCTCCGGGACCCCCCCATCCTCCCTCTTCTGCTCCTGAGGGCCCTGATGTCTTTGCTGCACAGGGTGCACTTCTGGCAGATGGAAAGTCAAGCTTACCTCCCACTCACCCCAACTCACCTCATGTAATGGGCCAGGAAGGCCCCAGTCAGCCCCATCCCAACCACCAGGAGAAAGCCAAGAAAAACGAGGCCAGGATCCACTCCTGGAAGGGCAGTGGGGGAGAGACGTTCAGGGCCCTAACAAAGGGGAGGCACCCCCCATAGGGAAGCGTGGAATCCTGTCCAGTCCTAGTGGCTCCAGGAAAGGGGGTGGAGCAGGATCTAGGGGAAAGTCATGGATTTCTCCAAGGGGAGGGTCTGAGGATTCCAGAAAAGTTCTGCGAGAGTTTTGGGAGCTCAGCAAGACATTGGTCCCGCACAGACCAGGGTCAGAGGAGGACCTGGAATGGTCTGGAAGAGTTACAATACGGGTGTTCAGTCACTTTCATCACTTTGTGGATAGTCCTTGGTGAAGTCCCAGTGAAGACTGGGGTGGGGCAGCATGCTCTCACCTCCGTTGCAGATGACGTCAGGGTCGAACCAGCACCAGGGGTCAGGCCCAGGACCCCGTCCCCCACGAGGGAAGTGCACTGGGGTCCCAACGGAGCGGAAGGAGCCCCGGACGGGGTCCAGCATGTAAGTGGCAAACAGCCGGTCTCCTGTTGCATCCGTGTCCAGCAGTACAAACGGGGGTTCCTCGACTCCTCCCAGGCCTCTGCAGAAGCCAGGGGTCTGGGCATCTCGGGCGTGGCGGGCCACAGCTGCTCCGGACACCCAGCCGCCACCTCCGGCTGCTCGAGCCCCCGCCACACCCCATGCCAACAAGGAAACCGCGTCGTAGATGGTGCCGAAGAGTGGGGACACCTGAGAAAGGAGAGTAGGGGGCTCAGTGTCCGAGACCATGGCCCACAGGCAGCTGTGCACTCACTGGTCGGGTCTATCTGCTCACTGGGACCAAGTCCTTCAGGTACTGACTGTGCCCATCTCCTAGTTAATGGCTTCCGGTTGGCTATCTTGCCCTTTCTCCCACCGATCATCTCTCTTACTAGAACTCTCAGGCTTTTCTCACCATTGGTTGACTCTTTCACCTACAGCTTCTCTTCTTTTCCTCCTTTTGGGTTGCCCTGAATGTGTTTTTAATCTCATTATCTACCATTGGAAGGAGCCCTGCTGATACAGTAGTTAAGAGCTACCCTGCTAATGAAAAGGTGAGTGGTTTGAACCCACCAGCCACTCTGTGGGAGAAATATGTGGCACTCTACTTCCATAAAGACTGTTGTTGTTGTTATGTGCCATTGAGTCGGACCCAACTCATAGCGACCCCTCCTTTGGTTTCTGAGGCGGTATCACTACGGAAGTAGATTGCCCAACCTTCCCTCCGAGGAGTGGCTGGTGGGTTTGAACCGACAGCCTTCTGGTTAGCAGTCAAGTGCCTTAGGTACTGCACTACCAGAGCTCCTCCATAAAGATTATAGCCTTGGAATCCCCATGGGGCAGTTCTACTCTGGTCTATAGGGTCACTATGAGTGGAATCCATGGCAATGGATTACTTATATTCAGGAATACCTAGGTGGTGGAAATAGTTAACATGCTTGGCAATTTGAATCCATACAGAGGAAAAAAAGGCCTGGTGATCTACTTCCCAAAAATTAGCTTTTGAAAACCGTTTGGAACACAGTTCTACTCCAAGACATATGGGGTCACCGTCAGTCTGAGTCCATAGCAACTGGAACCAGGCCTACCATTCATGCAAAAGCCATTTTTCCTGACATTTTGATTGACTTCTATTTTTTCTTCTTTGTTTTCCCCGAGGCTACCACCTGATTTCATTACACCTGTATTATTCCCAGTTCCCATTTCTCAAAGGTTAACAAATATTAACCGGTTTGGAAGTGAGAATGGCCAGACTTCATCTCACCTACTTTGGTCATGTTGTCAGAAGGGACCATTCCCTGGAGAAGGATATCATGCTTGGTAAAGTGGACGGTCAGTGAAAAAGGGGAAGGCCTTTAATGATATGGATTGACACAGAGGCTGTAATGATGGGCTAAGGTATAGCAAGGAGATTGTGAGGGTGGCGCAAGGCCAGGTAGTGTTTTGTTCTGTTGTACACAGGGTCGCTATGAGTTGGAGCTGACTTGACGGCACCTAACAACAACAACAACAACATCTCCTAAGTACTATGCAAAGCACTAGGGACATACTGATATACAAGACAGAAAACTTTCCTTCATGGAACCTTCACTCGTGTGGGGGAGACAGGCAGGAATGTTGAGGTAGTACAATGAGGGACATGGTAGGGGAAAGTGAGTGAGCTATGAGACACAAAAGAGGCTCTCCACTCAGGCTGGGAAAGGAGGAAGAGAGAAGGAGCCTTTTAAAGGAAGTGACTACCAAGCAGAGATCCAAGAGATGAGTTAGCCAAGTGGCCAAGGGAGGGCTAGGGCAGGAGAGAAGAAATAGCACACCTACCATCTCGGAAGCAAAAGAAAGACACAAAAATTCATTCCTTTTGGCTGAAGTTCAAGAAAGATCAAAGAGGACACCACGAGGCTGTATCTTTCCAGGTAAGACATGCTACTGAAGAGCTTTGAACAGGAGTATGACCTGGCCACATTTGTATTTTAGAAACTCCCTCTAGTTGTTGGGTGGAGAAAGACCTGATGCAGGTGCCATCTGAAGCAGAGACCACCTGGGTGACTGTTACTGGATTCAAGCCGAAGGTGCTGTGGCCTGAACCAGGGTAGTGCCAGTGAGGATGGAGAAAAGTGGACGGGTTCAAATGATCTTTAGAAAGTAAAAGTGACAGACTTGATGTTTGGATGTGAGGGAAGACAGATAGGGAAATCAAGGGTGAATCTCAGGGGTCCAGCTTGGGCAGCTAGGTGAAGGCTGAGCCTCTTACTGAGAACTGAAAAGCAGTTTCAATTTTCTGCCTCCTCTTTCTCCACTGACTGACCCACCGTCCAGCTCCTCTCTCCTGACTCTTTTTTCCTAACTCATCACTATTTTCTCTTATTTCCTATCCTCATGTCTACTCCCATCCTTTCTCCACAGTAGCTACCCCGAACCCTCCTGGAGGAGGCTCAGGGGAAGTGGTGGGCTCTTAGGCAGGAAGAATGGGCAATCTACTTCCATAGTGATACTGCCTTGGAAACCGAAGGAGGGGTTGCTATGAGTCAGGTCTGACTCGATGGCACATAACAACAACAACAATAATCTTGGGCAGGAGGCTGTTAGGGAATTATATTTCAAGCCCCACTGACCCACAATCCTACCCATGCAGTTCCCTTTGGGTAGAGTCTTTATGATGATTAATTTATTTTATGATGATTAATTTAATTTGGAGTCCCCTCTAAGTGGTTTCTAGCCCCCATTTTGTCAGTGAGTTGGAGCTAGATGGTCTAAACTTGGATCCTGAGGATGCAGAGAATCCTGGGCATTAGTTGGGTGTTGAGAATGAGCTATGATCTAAATGATTGCTGGCGTGCCTAGCTCTAGCTAGAGACTTGTCTCCTTTTCAGAAGATGTTAAGGCCCTCAACAAGTTAAAACTACCAGATGGGGCCCCAGAGGACAAACACCTCTGAATTTGGCATGAAGGTTGGGTCTGCATCATCCCTCTTCCCTAATATCTTGCAGACCACCCCCCAAAAAAAACACCCAAAGCCAAACCATTTGCATTGAGAGGATTCCAACTCATGACAACCCCATGTGTCAGAGTAGAACTGTGCTCCCCAGGGTTTTCCGTGACGGACTACCAGGTTTTTCATTCAGGGTGCCTCTGGGTAGACGCAAACCTCTACCTCCAACCTTTTAGTTAACACCCTAGCTTGTTAACCATTTGTACCACCCACAGACTTCCTTTCGAGGACACCAGATGTTGCTGTGGTGCTGAGAATGGGTTTACTTTGAAGCCATCATCAAAGAGTTCATCAGCGTTTGCTCCTTGGAGCTGGGCTTGAGAGGTGGCATTGCCTACTCTCTGGAGGCACTCTCAGTACACTAAAATGCCCCAAGACGCTACCCAGGAAACTCCAGAACACCTGGAAACCAAAAAACCAAACGCACTGCCGTTGAGTTGATTCAGACTCTTAGTGACATTTTAGGAAAGAGCAGAACTGCTCCATAGGTTTCCAAGGCTGTAAATCTTTAGGGAAGCAGACTTCCTCATCAGAGTAGCTGGTGGGTTCAAACTGCCAACCTTTAGGTTAGCAGCCCAATGCTTTAAACACAAGGCCAGTAATTCTCTCCCTATTGACTCCATCACTCTCCTTCCCACTGATTCCATTTCCCCCTCATTCCATTGTCTTTATCCATTTCTCTCCCAATTGCCTCTACCCTTCTGTAGCCATTGATTCTATCCTCCTCTTTCCCATTGACTCCATCCCTCTCTTTCCCATTGACTCCATCCCTTTCTTTCCCATTAGGCTCCAATCTCAGTTTCCGGCTTTGGCTATCCCGTTTCCTCTTCCCTGGCTCTCCTCCCCTCTTCCCTCTCCCAGGTCCCTCTACCTGCTGTGGATTGAGGTCAGGGGGTAGCTCTCGGTTCTCTTGGGCCCTGCGCAGGCTGTCCAGCACGCTGCCTCCCAGGGGACAGTGGCGCGTAAGGATGAGTACAGCATCGTGGGCCTTGCGAAGCTGGGAGCTGTTGGCGAGTGCGGCCAAGGCCTCCGGGCCTGGGGACAAGGCGTAGTGCAGCGTGTCGAAGGGCAGGAAGACCAGGGAGCCGTCATCCAGGCCCAATTCCTCCGCGGCCTCCAGCAGGAGGCGCTGCTCCTCGCCGCCCAGCAGCACCGAATGCATCACCATGATCACTGCTGCGGACACAGAGGCTCGGCTCGCCGCACAGCACCGCCACCCACTGGACCCGCTGCCACGTGCACCCTCCGGGAGAGCCTACCTCTGACCCTGGGCCCGTCACGGACCTTCCTCAGGGCCTCCCGGGCACCGGAGAGGTCCGAGGGCTCCATGGTGGTCACTAAAGCGACGGGCAGACCCCGGGCCCGGAGAGCTGCGGCCAGCGCGCGTCCCGCCTCCACCCACAGGTCCTGAGGGGCGGTGACCAAGGCCACGCGCGCCCAGCGGAACTCCCGCAGGAGGGCGTAGAAGGCATCCGCTGCGGGCGTCCCAGCAGGGGTCGTGGTGCCCGCCGCCCGCGTCCCCGGGCAGCCCCAGGGCACTAGCGCGACCCCTGCTCCATGGGCTAGTATTTCGGCCGGCCGGCAGGTGGCAGGATTCACCGGACCCACGAGTCCCGAGACGTGAGGCAGCGCCGAGGCCACAGCTCCCAGCGCGCCCGGCGTCCGGCATGGCTCCGGTAGCAGGGTGACCTCGAAGCGCGGGCCACCTTCCAGGGCTGGTTCGCGGTTCAGGCGGGCGGCGGCCAGGCGGGCGGCCAGGTCCGGGCGGGCACTGGCAAAGATGGGGTCGCAGGTCCAAGGGCCCAGTACCCCGACGGTGAACATGGCGGAGCGGGCCGAGGGCGGCAGTAGCAGCAACAGAAGCAGCAGCAGCAGTAGGAACCGAGGCCGGGGCCGCGGCGCGGCCAGAGTCTGAGCGGGTCGGGACAGAGGCCCCAGCGCGCCGGTGCAGAGCTGCGGGTCCCGAAGTCCACCCACCAGGAGGGTGCAGGCTGTCATTGCCGGCGTCTGTGAACACAGATGGACCAGAAGAAGCCGACGAGACCCCAGAACTCCCCTAGGGCTCTCCCCACACTCCCAGTTCCCAGAGTAGCCCGTGGGTTGTCTCTGCTTCCACAGCTCCCGCCTCGGGCTTAGACGATTAGCTAGGGGTCAGAGGCATGCCTGGAAGCCCCCTTCTGCTTCCCCTGGCGCCTGCTCCGCCCCACCCCCTTTGATCTCCCCTTTCCTGTCCTCAGAGCCATCCAGGGTCGGTGGGGACACATCCATACCCTCCTCAGGTCCGTCCTGGAAGATTGGACCCGGGTCTCTGCAAAGAGGCCTTTGCCATTCACCAGAAAGTCTGGAACTGGGGCCCAGGGCCAGAGTGAGGGGTCACAGGGTGAACCCCGTACTAACCCTTGCCCACAGGTCTCCTCTGCCAGCCTGGCACAGGGTGGGGGTGTGGGACCAGCCGGCAGAGCCCTTAATCTCTTCAAGCTGATTAGGGCCCCTAATCAGGCAAGGAGGAGCTCTGGTAGCATAGTGGCTAAAGCACTTGACTGCTAACCAGAAGGCTGGCGGTTCAAACCCACCAGCCACTCCTCGGAAGGAAGGTTGGGCAATCCTACTTCTGTAGTGATACTGCTTCGGAAACCCAAGGAGGGGTCGGGCGACTGGACACTGACTCGTAGGCACATAACAACAACAATAATCAGGCAGGGAGGGGCTGGTGGGGGAAGGGAACCTGGACTGCCCCTCCCTGGGGTGGGCTCTGTCCCAGGTGCCAGGCAGCCAGGCAACCCCTTTATCCTTCATGCCTCCCAACCCTCGCCACCAGATCTCTTAGCACAACAGTAGCTGCAGGTCCCTCTTACAGGCTGCTGCCACACTGCCCTTCTCTGCATAGAAAGCGACAAAGATGTGCCTATGGAGGCCTATGGGTTATACTATCAGTCTAGGCCCATTTCTTGAATGACAAGTCTATTCCCCAGAGACCAAACCCAAACCATCTCCCAATACTTGTCCTTCTCCTCTCACCTGCGCACACTTAGTTCCCTCCACATCCAGCTCTCCATGCTTAGAAAACCAACCCTCTGGCTTTGGGAAAAGAGAACTGGAGAAAGTTATAGAAAGATCACTGGCCTTAGGCAGAGCTGGGTTCAAATTTCTCCTTACCGACTTTGCAACTTTGGAAAAGTTGCTTAATCTTTCTGAGGGTTTGCAGTATAATTAATTGCTTATTATGGCCCTTCCAGCCATAGTCCTCCATTTTGTGATGTATTGTAAAGCCTAGCCTCTATAGCTGTGGTTACGGTCCCATTTGGGAGTGAGTTGTCTGTTGCATTGATGATGCAGTATTAGGGTGGGATGTATCTTGAGTCCCACCTTGCTGGAGGGTGTGACTAAAGTCACCACCCTTAGTTTCCTTGAAGATACAGATGTGAATGTTCGCTCTCTTGCTCCGGATCCTGCATCCGGTTCATCATCGTCTTCCTGCAGTTCTTGGGACTCGAGGCAGCAGCCCGTCATCTGACCTGCTGATTTGGATTCATCGGCCCATGCAGCCACGTCGTGAGTGAGGAGAACCCTCCAGACTGACACCTGACCCACCAGTTTGGGAACTGCTGGCCTCCATACCTTGTGAGCCATTTTCTTGGTTTCTGAGTTCTCTGAGATGTTACGGCGGAATACAGAACCCTAAGGGAGGGAGAGTACAGAGGGGAGGAGGAGGAGGAGCTGGTGTTAGAGATGATGGAGTGGGACAGCAGTTTGGAAAAGTTGGACATCTGGGACATCTTTCACCTCTGCCTCCTAGAGACCAGCCTTGTGCGATCCTTCTGCAAGAAACCATTCACGCAGGTCTGTTGTGAAAATTGCCCTTGACAATGAATATAAATTCCCTGATGGCAAGAATGACTAAGACAGTTTTAAAGAGGAATAAGGTAGGAGACCTGCCTGACCACATATCAAAATCTATTATAAAACTGTAGAAATGGAGGCACTGTGGTATTGCCACAGGGATAAACACATAGCCCAAGGGAACAGAGTAGAGGGCACTGAAACAAACCCAGCAAAAAAAAAAGGAAATTTGGTGTATGAAAAAAATAGGCATTTCTTATCAATGGGAAGAGAATGAGCTTTCTGATACATGGAGGTAATTAGTTAGCCATATGGACCACCTGTCAGTTTGAAGTACTGTGGTGGCCCGCATGTTGCTGTGAGGCTGGAAGCTATGCTGCTGGTATTTCAAACACCAGCAGAGCCACCCACAGTGAACAGGTTTCAGCAGAGCAGCCAGATTAAGAGAGAGGAGGAAGAAGAGCCTGGCAATCTACTGCTGAAAATATGCCAGTGACAACCCTGTGGGTTTCAACAGAGCATTGTCCTGCTTGCTTGCTTTGGAAACATCATCGATGGAGGAGGACAACGTGTTTAATGAAGTCCAGGGCCAGCAAGGGCAAGGGGGAGACTCAGTGAAACGGATCACCACAACGGCTGCAGAGATGGGCTCAAGCACGCGGCAATGGTTAAGACGGCACAGACTGAGCAACGTTTCGGTTCTGTTGTACAAGTCACAGTCGGTTTGATGGCACTTACCTGCTCTCCTATCCATCTACGGAGAAAATATTAAAATCATTTTCTGTATATTTGGAATATTTTATAACTTATATTTTTGAAATTGCTTTTTAAAATAAAAAAATTTAAATGTCTGACCTGTAATAGAGCCTCAAAATTCACTAAGTGTCAATGTTTGTTTATATAAGCCTGTTTCTTACTTTCCATAAGGTTTACTTCCTTATCTATCTCCTCTGCTGATGTAACATCTCTCCTTGGAATCAAGGAAACTCCATCCAACCCTTCCATTCCATAGATGATAAGACCGAGGCCCAGAGGGGATAGTGATTTGGCTAAATGGAGAATCTGTCGATTTGCTTCTAGGGCCAATGGGATGACAAGCATTGTGTACTGAAGACAGGGATGAGAGGCAGAATGTTTTAAGTCAGTCCTGGCCTCACGCCAAGGTTACACAGCCGGACACCAGCCATTGCACTGCCCCACTCCCTTTCCAGTGGCCCATGAGCCTGTTTACGCTTCTTTCTATCGCTAACTTTGTATTGGACCTGTGTGTACGGAAAGCAATAAACACTGTGTTACATAAAGGGTGGGGCCTTCAACAGCAGTCTGCTAGAGTTACTAGAGGGCAGAATTATATTTAAACCCAGCTTCTATAAATAACTTCGGACACAGGTGGCCCTCCCCCTCTGGAAGGCCTTGGTTTCTTTCTTCCTCTACGGAAAAGGGAAAATGCCTTTCTTCTGAGATTTTTAGTCTCTCCCCCAACCCTTTAAAATCATGAAATTTGGAGGCGTTAACAGAAGGAATTGGAAGTTTTCTGTCTGTGGAATCACTGTAGCAGCAGATAAGGAAAAACGATTCCTTAACTTTAAATGAAGCACAACTGCTTTTGAAACCAATTTAGCCTGAATCTCAGAATAGCAGACAAGTCCTGGGGGAGTCTGATCCTAAAATAAAAATGACTCAAGTTGCGTTAGAAAGGAACACTGAATCTAAAAAATAAAGAGGCAAAGCCAGGATTTGATTAAAACGCACTTTGTAATAGTTAAAGGACAGCACGGAGGGAACAGAGCTTCCTAGGCGTGAAATTGCTGTGTTAAAAGCACGCACATTTAAAATTCTAATTGTTCCTCCCAAATTACCCTCCCAAAAGGCTACACCAATTCATACTTCACGTAATGAAGAAGAATGCCTCTTTCCAGCACCGATTCCTAACAGTGGGCATTACAATTCCTTATCACTGTTTGTACCCAAATGAGCAAATAAGATCCTTGTTTTAATTTTAATTTCTTTAATTATTAAAAAGGTTAATCATTTTTTCATGTTATTGGTCATTGTATTTCTTTCTCACTGTATCATCTGTTCCTTTAATTTTCCCATTTTAAAATTAATTTATCTCTCTTTGCATTTTGTCCCATATGTTGCAAACATTTTCCCCAGTTTATCTTTTGTCCTACTTTAGTTGTGTTATCTTTTGTAATTTTTATATAAGGTCAACATTTGCCAGAATATTCCTTTTTGGTTTCTAGCTTACAGGTCATATATAAAAAAACTGCCTCCTTTTTTCTCCAGATAAAAATTGTCTGTGTACAAGAAAGGATGAATTCCCTCACAGATCTTAATGAATTGCTTACCCCTGGGATCCAGACAGAATTAATTCCCAGTAGGGAAGACCATGGAGCTCTTGTAGTGTAGTGCCTAAGGCACTTGACTGCTAACCAGAAGGCTGGCGGTTCAAACCCACCAGCCACTCCTTGAAAGGAAGGTTGGGCAATCTCCTTCCGTAGTGATACTGCCTCGGAACCCAAGGAGGGGTCGCTATGAGTTGGGTCGACTCGACGGCACATAACAACAACAACAGGGAAGACCATGTTTTTCATGGGCTACTGGAGAGCAGCACAAAGCTAAGCCTCACCAGTTGCTGCTGAACAAGAACCAAGGGAGCCAAGTCTAAGTCACATGGAATGGGCATTAGAACTGGCACGTTACCAAACTGAGGAGGAAACCACTAAGACTGTGCAAGTCTGGTCAGAACTCAGTGCCTCTCCTTTGAGTAATACGGAGATGTGAGCTTTGGTTTCAGATGTGGCCCCAGCACTGTCTGAAGGCTTTGTAGATGCTAGAGAGTTTATTTAGACTTTTTGCTTGGCTAAAGCATGAGCCAGCTGGGATACTGTGGCTCTGTCAGTAGTGGGTTTATATGTTTTCTAATATATTGGCACTGCCAAGGGAGATATTCGGTGAGTAGAAGTGAAGTGACAATTACAGGCTGTGGTGGGCTGAATAAGGGCCCTCATAGATACCCAGGTCCTAATCCCAGGTCTAGGAAAAGTGGAAGTTGTCAAAAATGAAATGGAACACACAAAGATCAATATCCTAGGCATTAGTGAGCTGGAATGGGCTGATTTGGGCCATTCTGAATCAGACAACCATATGGTCTACTA